AGGAATGCCCCATTTGAGTAGTCCTGTTACCATGAGTTTTAAAAATGCATTAGAAAAAAAGTTCCATGTAGTGTGTTGAAATATCTCGTTGCATTCATACAGTACAATTTTATGTATAAATGCAATACAATTGCCTTGTCCTGACAGGACCAGAGGCAATGGGCACAAACTGAAACACAGGAGGTTCCCTTTGAACATCAGGAAACACGTTTTTTACTGTGAGAGTGACAAAACATCAGCACAGGTTGCCCAGTGATGTGGTGGAGTCTCCTTCTTTGTGCAAAAGCACAAAGCTTTTGGTGTCTCCAAAAGCCACCTAAAGTCTTAGTATCCCACTCTGGGTGGCCCTGCTTGAGCAGGGGAGTTGAACCAGATGATCTCCCGAGGTCCAACTGACCTCAGCCATTTGGTGATTCTGCGATTCATGGAGAAGAATAACATAGAAGAACTGTCTTTTCTTTGTTGCCTTTTAAATTTTTTTTTTCTTTTTTGCAGGAAGTTGTCTAATTAGGGGGATTGAATTAGGGGGATTGGATACCAAGGGAGATGTTTTACCATGCATAAAGGAAAGCATACCCTCTCTGTGACCTTAGATCTTGTTAGCTGTCCATCTGAATACTTGTGGGCCCCTATGGAGAATTACCAAGTGATGTGTGACTTCAGCAGCAGAGAGATTACTCTCAGCAGTATTGAGCTAGCAGCTGCTTCATGTCTGTCCCCCAGGTCCAGAGAGCCATGAGACTGGCCACAGAGAGCACCACAGACAGAAAACATGGAGCACTTGGACGAATATGAAAAGGACTGGTGGCCCCACACCCTTGTCTGCTCTGGCTGATGAGGACTTTTGCCCACTGGTGAAATGTCATCATGGAAATACGAACAGTGTGGAGACTATCAACAGCTGGTCTTAGACACATAATCCTCCCAGTACAGTAGCTGCCCCCAGTAATGTATCCTGTGCCTGTGATGATGAGTCTTTAGTCACAGAATCACAAAATGGAAAAGGTTGGAAGGGACCACAGTGATGATAGGTGACCTGGCCCAATCTCTCTGCTCAAGTAGGGTCGTCCTAGAGCACATTGTACAGGAAATCACATATATAAGTACCTTAGGGTAAAATTTATCACACTTAATCAACACACATAAACCTCTATAATCAGTGTCCAACACAAACCGTCTCTGCAGGTGGTAATGAAAAGGAGTTTCATCCCTAGGCATCCACCCCAGGCTGGGAGGGATTGCTGTCTGGAGATCCTGCATGTCTTGATATGATTATGACCAGTAGCTTTGATTAGTCTGCTTACTTAACTTGGAAATACCTAAAACTGGTTGAAAGCAATCCTAGCTTAAGGAACAGAAATCCTTTTCCTCATGGACTCCTGGCACCATGGTAGGGCTCTGTGTAGGGTGATCCACAGCACAAAGAGTGAAAAGAAGATGGTGGTAATAATAAAAAAAGTCACAATTTTGTATCAAATGTAAAAACTGCATTGTTGTTTGGTAAGCTAGATAGCCTGGTGTTAATTATTTACATATATACAAATCAGTATGTTAAATGCTGTTCTGTTATTTACAGAAACACAGATTGTGCAGGGTCTGAAGTCTGCAGACTAACACTGAAGTAGCTGTACATTCCATTTATTCATAAAAGAAAAAGCATTTCTAGTGCAATAACACCACGTTATTTCCAACACCATGACAGATTTCATTATCTTAACATGGAAACCAGAAGTTTGTCTTTAGGAATTGTGTAACTCTCTTCTTATTGGGGTCAAACTGAAATTGCTTTCTTCCACAGAAGAAATAAAGAAGGTCTAGGGGAAGAAAAACAAACAATCAACCAAACAGATGAATCATGATATTTGAGATTAAAAGATTAGTATGCTTTAACAACATCCAGAAAGAGCTCAAAGTAACCTTTGGATACATTTATACTGCCAACAGCATCTGCTCCCAAGAGACAACGATCCAGGAGACAACTGGGAAGCTGTGACATTTGGCAGTGTGGATGCATCCTCGAGTCTGTTCCAGCATCACCATGTCTAAGTAACATTTACCCCCATGCAGGAGAAGCTAGTGCCATTTACTATTCTCAAAGCAGTCCCATATTATGTCAGAGGGCCAGGTTGTGCTAGCCTTGCTCACAGCAGGTGTTGTTGACACATTACTGTCTTGAGTGGTGCTCTGCATGGTGTCATGTGCACGTCAACATGAATATCTGTCCCTTAGAGTTGGTTTTTCCAGATGTGAAGCATTCCCCAAAGGTATACCATGTCTGTTTTTCAAGGGAGTAAAGTGAATCATGGGAGTGTTGTGTGATGGTTTCAGGGTCTTGTTGGACATCCTGAGAGCATTGAACAGCATTTAAAGCACCTCTCTCTGCCCAAGCACTCTCAGCTCTATGACTGAGCATTTCACACAGATTTTATTAAGAACAGTTACTCACTTTCATATTGAAAAACAGCGTCTATCTTTCCATTAATTCCTGGAAACACATCTCTTATGAGTAATGACTTTTTATCCATAGACTGACTTCTTTTATCATACCTGAGAAAAATTATAAACAACCTGGAGTCAAAAAAACCTACAAACAACTTATGATTAATTCATCTCATCTCATCTCATTACCTTCTATCTACCAACAGGTAACTGAGTTCATTGAAGAACTTCTGTATCATTAAATAGCATTGAGAGAGACACAATTTGCCATAAAAAAATATTAGTCTATTGGCTGGACTGGAAGAATTTCTTCTGTTTACACCAGTTTAAGATACATCCAAGAATACCTAATACTGGAACCATCATCTTAAATCTGCTTAATACATTTTTTCCTAAGACACCGTGCCTAAGGAGAACTAGATAATACATTTTAAGAAGACTGTTTTCATGTTCTGTCTCTGTAAGAAATGTTTATCATGAAAAATCTGATTTTTTTCTTAAGTCATAAGTTATCTTAAGTCAATTTACCTAAGTTACTTACAGCAAGCTGTTACATTTTTAGTGAAGTCCAGTTTATCTATTAGTGTTGGAATAAGAAGGCATCTGAAAGCCTTTCACTTCTGACACCTTTGCTCAGCAAAACATTTATGGTCAAACAAACTTCTCAGCTGAAGTCATTCAAGCTATGAGAGTTTGACCTAAAATGTGAAAGTCTGTCTGCTTAAACTACAAATATGTGGCTGAAAGATCACTTTAGGGTGATCTTTCTCTGTGTATCATGACTTGGACATTGTAGTGACAGGAAAGAGAGAGGTTTTGTCATTTATCTACAAAAGTTCACAATATTTACTGCTTCCATTACAGGAGAACCTCCTTCAGCTGTTAGAAATCTTTGTCCTGTAAGACAAACCTGAGCAGTAGAGACTGGATGGAGAAGAGAAAATAACAACTGTGCATAGCAGATAAATCCTGGCAGAGTATGTCATTCATCAGAAACTTTATGAAACTATCTGTTAGTAGCAGGGAAAAGGGTGGGGTTCTCCTTAGCCAACAGAAATATTTTTGGTATATATATTGAGGTTCTGACTGATTTCCTGAGATGACTTCTGGAGTCGTAGGAAGGCTTTTTTTCCCCAATGCAGCTAAATGAAAATAAATAAACAAGCAGTTCAACGGTTAAATCAATTAAAAGGAAAGGTAAAAGCACCATTTCACCTCCCCATTTTTTCCATAACCAGTTGTGACACTGAAAGAGATTACCAAAAATGTGTGACTAATGAATCCTAAATCATGACAGGACATTGATCATGTGATTATAGTTGCTTCTATTTAGGAAAGTAATACAGGAAATGTTACCTCCAAAATTTCTCTGCTATGAAGTAATATGTCTTCCCCTCATTTTCATTATAAAAAGCAGCATCAATTTTCCTAACATCCTTTGGAAAGCCCAGGGTGTAGACTTTTTGGGGGTATCCAGGAAGTATGGCATCTCCTCTCACAACCCAGAACTCATTCCCTATGAAGAAAAGTTGATGAAAATATGTTGTCAGAATCTTCTGGGAATGACACAATACTTTTCATGAAAGCTAATCTTTCAATATAAAAATGCAGAGAGAAACTAGCTGTTATTTGAAAACATTCTGCCTACTGGTTCTAGAGTCCAGAAAAAAGGAATAGTTCTCCACACCCCCTTTTGTAAAAACTTAAATTTCAGTCTCCATTCATACCTTCTTCCCAGAACCTAGGAAGAAGCATGTGGTATCATTTTGAAATTCAATAGCTAATTTTCCAGAAAAAAAAAAAGGGAAAAAAGAAAGAAAGAAAAAGGAAAATGGCATTTATTTTGGCAGGAAAACTTTTCTACATGTATATTGAAAAATAAGATAAATGTTTTTTATCTTGGATGATATTTTTGTCATCTCTGTGATTGAAATACACCAATTTACTGGACTAAATTAAAGCTTGTGGAATCTTACAGAAAGAGCTGAAGTGTTTTTTAAGCCAGACACAAGTTCTCAAGGCTACTTGGGGAGACAACATGGGACAACAAAAGGACATTTTACCTTTAAAAATTACTGTTTCATCTTTTTCAGGAATTTCATACGCAGCATCAACACCAGGGGGCAACCGTGGCCAGAACGAAGATATTAAATTAAATTCAGCTGTTCTTACTTCAGGATGTTTACGCCAAATATGCCTTACGTAAATATAGAACAGGTTTTAAATAAAATCAGTCATTCACACACATGAATGCATGAAACCACATCATTGCAACCAGGCCAGGATTTATCTGACTAAACTTAACTGTGTACCCTGAGTTAGTCACACTAAGCTCACTGTAATCTTAACATAAAGTTGTTTCGATGGTGGGATCACTCTCATCTCAATGCAGACATCAAAAATAGATCAGATGAACTGTTTTTGTCAAAACATTTATTTTTCCTTATGTGGAAATGGAGCTTAGAGAGACCTGTCTCACATGGCTGATATGGGGTAAGATTTTGCAAATGTAAGCCCACCCTGCCTGCACCAGCTTAAATAACCAGTCAGAGTGTGAGAGGCTCTCCTGCAAAACAACACTTTATTGACTTTATGTACTCCAAACTCTGAGGTCAAAACTGGTTCTAATGTTGATTTGAGGGGAGGATCTGAAGCACGGGAAGCATAGCCCTACCACATGAAGGGAAGGGGAATCAGCTGTTTTACCCTTCTCTTTCAGACTTTGGGATGTCATGGCCTGGAGAGGGGCATCTTGTCTGAGTTTAATACCAAATCAATTACCTTTCCCTTTATTATTATTATTTATTATTATTATACTAAATCACCACTACAAGGACTCTTCAAGCAGGTAGTATGTTAGAACTGGTAAACCCTCAACTCTCTCAAAGCAAGGATGGCAATGAAGATGCCAAGTGTCCAAGAGCTGCTGGAGTCTTTTGCCAAAGCTGAACTCTCACAGATGCCAAACACTTGGGACTTGCTTACAGCCAAAAGTTAAAACAGCCCATGTTTGCAGAGGAGCCATCTTTCCCCATGCTATTAACAGCATGCCTTGTTCCAAAGGTCATCTTCCTCATCTCTCATCTCTCTTCATCACTCATCTCTCTTCATTTCTCCAACACACTCTTTGTTTTTGTCTTCCATTTCTTCTTCTCATACCCTGTCTCATCTTCCTGCCTAGAATGCCTGATATCTTCCTGCCTAGAATGCCTGGGTAAAGTTATTTTTCCTGCTGTGGGGCATCATTTCAATAATTATATCCAGCTATTTTACTACCAGAAAGCTGACTTACTTGTCTTTAAAGAACATTATTTCTCCACGGAAAGTTGTGACAGCATCAAAAGTTAAATTGGGGCCACATGTGTTTGGCAGTGCAGGATCGTTTGACTCAGTTGTGTCTTCTATCTCAGCAGATTCCCTTTGATCATTGTGTGTGTTAGGAGATGGTCCTAAAAGCAGTTTAGGGAAGAAATTATAGTGAGAACTCATTCAAGTAGATCCAGTACTCAAAAATGTTGCTGAAAAGTATTCCAAAGTCTTTGAAATTATAAGCACTAGTTGATTAAAAATTGTTAATTACCATAGAGGTACTGAATGCCGCTAATATCATCCTGATGAAGAGGGAATACTGAAGGGTTGAATTTCCCATAAACTGGATACATCAGAGCATTGGGATCTTTGGAATGGAAAAGTCCCAGTGAATGGCCAAACTCATGGGCAGCCACATAAAAGAGGTTTGTACCTGAAAACAACAAACAAAATACTTAATAGGCAAGCTGTGTCTTTTCATTTGTCCTGATTTACATGAAGGGCATAAGGTAGGTCAGCAGCTTTCAGAACTGCTTGCCTAAGTGAGTGAATCTCTTGTGGGAAATTCAGTTGGAGATGAAATTCTGGTCAGAAAGAAAAATAATTAAATCATTGTAGCAGAGTACAAGGAAATATTCTGTATATCCTGCAGAAGTCAGTGTGGGAAAAGAAGCCTTGACCAGTGCAAGTCATGCAACTGTGTGTGGAGAGGAAAGCAGGTTGGAGGAGTGGAGGGAAGTGCACCCTCCCAAATAAATCTCCTGTCTATGGCAGAAGTTCATCTGGGGCCTTAGCTTTTTAAACCAGAGAGCTCAGAAGCTTTTTATAGCTATGAAAACCAGTTGCCCAATGTTCCTTCAAATCAGTGGCAATTTAAGCACTTCTTAAGAAAGGTAACAAACAGACACTGCACCCTTGATTGCATGTGCAACTTGCTTTAGGATAGGCTTGGAGACCTTAATTTCCTACCCTCTGTGCTTTTGGTCCAGGTTTCGTCCTCATCAAAGTGAGCATCTCCACCAAAGTCCTTGCCGGGTGCATAGGCATGAGCAAGGGATCCTCCTGGGCCATCAAAGGGGACGAAGTCGTTGTGACCTGAGGAGCAAATTCCATACAGAGCTGACTGGGGGTTATGGAGGTAACAAATCTCAGCTATGCACAGAGCTCTCTGTTCTGCTAATTTTGTACTTTCCTCTTCACCTTCCATTCAGATTTGCCAAAAGCTCTATTTTTCACAGGGAAAACAGTAAAATTGGAATGGATGCACCAGGAGCAAAATCTTAGTTTCCTCAAGAAATGGGAGGACTTCCTCAAGGGAAGAAGATGGCATGGTTGAGGTTGGAATACATTTCCTTTCTTGCTTATTAAATAAAATTTTCATAAAATGTCTATCAGCATCTGTCATGTGATTACCTGAACCTGACTGGTAATTTAAGCATTGACAGCAAAAGCAAGATCCTGGAAAGACTGTAAGCCCTTGAATGTAGTCTCCAGAAAAGGACTTAAGAATTTAGAGTTTCTGTGTGGTGCTTGCACACTCCACATAGCCTAGATGAGCGGGTATATTTGTGTGGGAACAGAAGAGAAGACGAGAAGAGTGCTTGTGTGCATGACTGTTAATGAAAGGAAAGGTTGCTGGCAAACCTATCTTGAGGGCAATGCCAAAACCTAATCTTTGAGTTGGTCGAGAATGTATTTAGCTCACACAAAGAACATGTCTAACCCTAGGAGTGTAACTAGGTCTAACTGCTTCATAATGCTCCAAGCATGGGTACGTTCTGTAAGTCCTAAGTCCTTTGTTGCTCATGCACACATTGAGCAGTATTTACTAGGTATAGGTCCAGTGAACTACAGGCAGCTCCTTACACGTAATTTCTTCCTCCTTCTCTTCATCTTTCTCCATATCCTCCCTCAAAGATTGTCAAGAATTATAGCCATAGCACCTTGAGCACAAAGTGTGTTTTTCTCTCTGCTTGTTCAACCTGACACTGAACTTCACATGTGCTATCTATGGGAAGAAATCGTTAGCATTTCAGGTCAGCTGCTTCATATAGACAGTAGCTTGGCAAAAACTCATAATGGTTGCGTAGAGTTTTACCTCTGGCTGCAAAAGAGATCATTATGTCTGCATCACCTCTGTCCTTCTTGACGAATTTCAGTGGGGTCACACTGCTCCAAACACTTAATGCTTTCTTGATCGCTGCATTGACATCTGCTGGATGCAGGTCTGGTGTGTAGTTTAATATCCTTTAAATTATAAGATAGAAAACCAGCTGTGTTCTTACAATTCACACTGTGTAGCACACTGTCTTGACATGAAGAATTCCACTGTAATTACCTGTATGTCAGAACTTGTTTTGCCCATTTTGGCTCTCCTGCAAAGGTCGAGAACCCAGATATATCAGGGAATCCACAGCGATGCTTCTGTACCAAGTCCAAAGTGCCAGAATCCAGTTTCCCTGTCACTTCTAGCCCAAAGAATTCCTGCATTTCTTTTAGTTTTTGGGTCATTGGGCTATCACTTTTCCAAACAAAAGATTCCCCATCTTTCTTAAAGCCATAGTAATTTTCCAGGTACTTCTAATGAAAAAAAATTAGAACAGTCAATGTGGCTTGCTTTCATAGCTCATAAGATATTAACACCACATGCCTTTGCTACTTTTATTTCTGTTCTATGGGAGCATAGACAACAGAGTTTGTTAAAGCCTGTATGGATATTTTTTCTTGATAGTCTTTTACATTACATTATTACTACAAACGTTTTTCACTTAACTCAAAATATATTTAAAATTAGCATTTGTCTAATACATTGATCTTTTGTTGATAACATGCCCTCCACGTACTTTGTGCCCTAGGGTTACCCAGAATCCTTTAGAAGAAGCAAATTGAATATATGACTAAATATAAAATTTCAGCAGTAGCACATCATTTTCCCACAATTTAGACAGTAATAATTCAGAAAAAAAGTACTATACTTGTTTCATGAAGTGTTGTTTCATACCACAAATCACATAAATAACAATATTTCCACCTGAACTACAAACCAAACCTAGACTGACTCAGGAGTTTAATTATTTGTAGAATCAGCACAGAAGTGAATGCATCATTTGGTTTAATTGCTCTCTACAGAATAATAAAACAGGATGGGTTGTGGCTAAACAAGCCTTTGTCATCACAGTACCCCCTCCATTTTGAGAAGTACTAAGCCACATTATTTATTCTACTAGCTCCTGAGCTGAAATGGATGCGCAACAGTTGCTAAACATCTCCCCCAGAGGTCTATCTTCCTCACCTGGATAAGCTGCATGCCTTCTTCCTTCTGCCTTGTATCCGCAGGAAAAGCACAGGAAAGTGCTGCACATAATAACAGAAGAAATGAGAGGTTCTCCATTCTCATTTCCACTAGCCTTTAGAGAAGTCCTTTCTGCAGTCTGCCACACACCTACTTCACCTTTATATAGTACTTGTTTGCTTTATAAAGCTTTCCAATCCCTGACTCATTGATTCTCACAATTTCTAGTTAGCAACAGAACATGCAAAACATGAGTTTTACTGTAAAACAGATTGGTGCTGTCTTTCATCCGGTTCCACCCTTGTGCAGGTTTTGCAACACGGTAATATGATTAATGAGAAGATAATAGACCTGTAGTTATTTTTAATAAGCTTATTGAGCTTTTGATTTTTAAAATGTAGTCTTACTCTCCAAAACTTAAAGCATATCTCTTTAATGTTTTCCATTCAAAGTTGGTATTGATTTCAAAAGCGTGGTTAAAGTAGCGGAAGGGAAAAATATTCACAGAAGGTCACAGGAGTGCAGACTACAAGCAGAAAATTTGTTTTCTAGGTTGTTTTTTGTTGGTTTTGTTGTTTTTTTTTGTTTAGTTTAGTTTGTTTGGTTTTTTGTTATTTTGGTAATTGTTTGTACAGGAGCATGTACTTTTGGAGGCTATTAGAGTGCCACCATCTTTCCCTTTGGTAGAGTCTTGTCAGTGCTATAATTCCTTGTTTTATGAAAACAGTGCTTTGTTTCTGCAGTTTTTCTTTAATACAGTTCTCACCTGGATGAAATTTCCTCTTGTCTGTAGGAAAATGTGGAATTAACACAATGAAATTAAAACAATTTGCCAAACATGTAAAAATTAAGCCAAGATATTTTCATGCTATTTTTATCCAGCAGTTTTTCCACTGTTTTCAGGGAATTGCCCAATGACTTTGTATTTCACAGTCTACATCTTTTATACTTGCTAGTAGGTTTTAAGAAGCACTGAGGTTTTCTGATTTTCTGGATCAAATTCTTTGATGGCTGTTCTAGTCACAGGTTCCTCTGTTCTCCCTGTCTGCAATTGGTGGTAAGAACTGCTGAGACTCAACAGCAGGTCTGCTCTAGCATTGGGTCCACTTTTTCTGCCATCCCAAATCGCACCCTCCATGCACTGCCACAAATGAGGACAAAGCAGTGGCGACAGTGAAGTCCCTGAGAATCCTGAAGAGAATTATCTACTGCCATTGAAGACTGCCTTATTTAGCTGAGATTTCTGCATGGGGCTAACACAGAGTATTCAGGGTACACCCACAGCACTGCTGTGCATGTGGGATGCTGCATGTGCAGAGAGATAAATCCTATTCCACAGAGCTTGCAGAATAATAGAGATGTGGAAGGAGAGGTTATAAATATATTGTACATTTGAGATATTTGCTGAAGTTACTTCCTGTTGAAGAGCACTGTGTTGGTGCCAGAAGGATCCCCAGAGCACACCGTGCCTGTGGCCATCCACAGGCAGGACATGGGGGACTGCTAGGTCTGGGAAGCTGAAACTCGGCCAGTCCCTGGCCAAGCTGGTAAGACTCTGCAGGGATTGTCTGGTCACTGAGGTCTGAATTCTTGCCCTAAGAGCAGACACCTAATTGAAGCATTCCCATTGGGGCACAGGCCCCCTCCCTAATCCCCCCTAGAAGGAGATGGACAGGCTCAGGGAACGACCCAGAACTGGGGCAGCTGAGCCAATGGGAAATGATCCCGTGAGGGAGCTTTTGATAATGACTCTATTCACATAGCTATGTGAGGTGTCTCTGAATGGGTGAGATGGACCTAAAAATTGGATGTTCTTCTGTGCAGTTTACACACCCACAATACCTCTCTGCAGAATTAGCTTTTGGTACTTACAGCCCCACTATAGCTTTCCAAATTTTTTCTCTTTCCACAGTGTCTCCACGTGCACTAGATGCAAGAAGTAACTTTCCAGTCTGTAGGACTTGATAAATTTTCCTCTCTCCTCTTTCTCTCTAATGAGAGGCCCATTAGAAACCATAACAAAATCATATAAGAAGATATTGATGAAATAGCTTTCTGATTATCAGCCTTCTCTAATGCATACTTTTGTTATGCTGTCACGCTCTTTCTCACTTTTCTTGATACTATTCACCATTGCCCTCAAGAGATAAATTATCTAGAACATGCTTTATGAATAAAACTCCATAACAACAGAGATTTTCTTTGATATTGTCCTTTGAGGTGACATTATCCAGAAGCAGTACAATCTCTCTTTTAGGCTTATAGAAGTCAGTGTGAAAATTGCTGTGGTCCTCTTTTTTTGAACCCCTGAAAGCGCCTGGCTAAACTTCTAAGATTGCCCTTATCTATCCCTCTTTCAGAATCAATCTTCTGCCTTGGATACATTCCCATAGCCCCAGCTCCTGCTAAGTGTACCAGAGAAAGACATAACACTTGCAAGAAGTGCTAAAATTTGCTCTTTGTTTGGTCAAGGTTATGGCTAATGCACAGTTCATATATTTTAAAACTAATGCATACTGTAGTATAGGGAAAAGCAAAATCCCATAGTACTTTATCAGGACGTAATTAAGCAGGCTTGTTCTGCAAAGTCAAGGGTTTAATTATGTGGAGCTTGAAACTGCCCCACTCTGCTGCCATATGTACCCTCAGCATCCTGGCCAGGCTGGACTTTGGTAGCAGTGTAGAACCTCCAGTCAAAACCTGGGAGAGCAGGTCTGTGCATAGGAAGCTTCTGAGCAGCAGAACTGCAGTTTCAGCCTGTGCTGCCATGAGCAATGCTTAACTAAGTGCTTTCAGCACCTCCTTCCTGGCTGTGCTGCAAACCCTGAGACCTGGCAGCAAAACCTAGCCTTAAAAATATTTTATTGCTGACAGAGATGAGTGTGTGACCTACTTCTGGCTTTTATATAACAGTTGTTGGTCTCCAGCACAGTAATGCTGATTCATTGACAGGGCCCCTCTAGTTCCAGTCAGCTTGCACACAGGTCACCCTTACTCTTGGTCAGCAAAGTCATTAAGGCATTTTTGCCTGAGATTTCATGTGCAGGAGACTGGGACATCAGCTGTGTAGTCAAGAATTTCAGATGTGACAACTTATTTTGTGTCTCTGTTTTTTCATTTGTGGCCTCAGACTCCAGGGAAAGTTTGTATTCATAGAGGATGAGTATTTGGAATTATGTTTATGGACAAATTTCCCCTACTGGTACCCAAGAGGGTTTTAGTTTCAGCAATAATTTATGAGTTATAACAAAATCATGGTTACAAGAAATCTTCTCTTGCCTGCTAAGTGTAGACAGCACTCCTGTTTCCAATCTCATCAGAATTACATCTTCCATTTGCCAGGAATTTCATTGCTTTTCCCAATGCAAAAGTAATGTTCTTTCTTTTCAAAGTTTAAGACATTAACAAAGTAGAAATACAGATGGAAAATCCATAGTTAACACATTTCACCAGTCCCCTTGTCCAGGTGAAACCCGTCATGTTGTCTTCCATTTATGGTCCAAGCTACACTTTCCAGATTTTCCTTTATGGCCAAGTAAATATCACTTATTTTTCAGATACTGTGAGTTTAAGCTAATTAATACCTGGAAGTGGTGGGAATATTCCAATTTTTTCCGTTTCCTTGAGGTCCTAACTAAAAAACCACTACCAAACCTATGTTAGAGTAGTAAGTTAATATAATGGCCATAGTGAGTCATTGCAAATATCGAAAATGTTCTGCTTCACTGTTGCTGAAATGTTCTTTTTTGTTCCTCCTTAACCACTTTCAAGTCTCAGCCAACAACCAGAGCCTAAAGGCCTGATTTCCAGAGGTAGCCTTCACATACAAGAAGTATGAAGGCATTTTTATAAACAAAGGGATTTAACCCCATTATTTACGTACAAGCAGTACTCACAAGTGCCCTGGAGGCATCTATAGTCCTTAGACTGAAGTTTCTTCAGGATAGGCTGTGTACACAACACAAGCTGTTGAGAAAGACACTGGGAGATGTTGGGGCAACATTAGTTTTCCTGTGTCTCTGCTCTGCCTGGACTGGTGCCAGGTGAGCTCACCCACTTGTCGGTCCATGACTCCACTGTGGCGCACCACTGTCCCTGAGGCAATGTTGAGACATTCAGTCCCTACTTGACTTTGAAACCATGGCTTAGTTTCTAACCTAGGATGGTTTTAGACCTGGCTTTAGAGGGGCTCAGAGCTTATCTAGCATGGCACAAAGTGTGCATGAGGAGAACATGGTGGAGAAGAGATATTCCAAGCTCATAGAATCATAGAATCATAGGATGGTTTGGGTTGGAAGGGACTTTAAAGATCGTTGAGTTCCAAACCCCCTGAAATGGGCTGGGACACCTTCCACTAGACCAGGTTTCTTAAAGCCCCATCCAACTTGGCAGCGTCTCCGCTGCCTGTCTTTGGCCTTGTGTGTTAGCAGAGTGGGACAGGGAGTCTGGGGGTACACTGGGAGAAACATGGCTTCCTTTGGCCCCAGTGGATGATGTGACAGGTGTCAGTATGTGTTTTGAACAAATACATGAGGGATCTGCCTTGTTCAGAAGACCAGGAGCAAATCTCATCTCTCACCTCTGGTAACTGGAATACTGTCCTCAACAGCCCTTTCCATCCTCTCTTTCTGCCTTTGCCAATTCTGCTAGAGAAAGAGGAATAGTGAGTTGACTTCCTTGTACAATCACATCATCAGAGCAGTGTTGTGAGATAGAATCCCTTCAAAGAGAGGATGGATTCCAGCCAAGCTTTCTTGCAGCCCTAGGGCTGTTTAAAATCACTGAGCTATTGCCTTGTGAGGTTGACCCAAACAAGGTGCACAGAGGAAGCATATATGATTTTCTGTGTCTCATCGGAGGATTAACCTGTGGTACTTACATGAAAATCCTGAAATTTTATTTCTTATCATTTTGGCTTGTTTTCTCTGGGAAGTGGTCCTTGTTAATGGTTTCTTGTCCAGCATTGCAAGCTGGACTTCCAGGCCTGATACCATTCCCATGGCATATAGTCACAGCTCAGCAGGGCTAATCCACTGGGACCCTGTGATCATAGCTTCATCACTTCCTACTGCGCCTGCATACTACCTCCATCCCCAAACTGGACACCTACCCTTCTCTCCGGTTGCTCATGTCCTGCTGTACCAACAATCCTGCCCATCAAACCCACCCACCACTGGAGTACTTGTCCTCTCAGCCCATTGCCATGTTCTGATCTACTAGCAGGAACCTGTTCCCATCCCTGCCCTGACCGCTCTGTCCTCATGCCGTGGGGCCATGGCAGGTGAGGCCACAGCCACCAGTCTCTCCACACTATTGTATAAGATTTTTCTTACCTCTTCCACCTCCTCTATATTGTTCCTGAGTGTCTTTGTTTCCCTTCTCTGTCCCTCAGGGAATTTCTTACTGTCAGAACTATTCCCCTACTTTTCTTTAACTTGCCCCCAGCAGACATCGAGCCCTGCTAAAAGTGGTGATGGGGTCCTGACACTGTTCAGACCTGTGTGTGGTTATAGCAGATGCTTTGTCTCCAGTAGACTGAACCAGAACACAAGAACACTGCTATACTCAAGCAAAATACTTTATTACTCAAAACCAACTTGATTAATAAATAGCTGGAGAACAAAATAAATTAAAACTGTACATTAAGTTTTACATTTTAAGGTTTTAAATTAGAATTGTTGAAGGCCATGATTTCAGATTCAGATGTAGAGTAACAGCTGAAAAACATTGTTTATAACCAAGGAACATGAAAGATCATTTTTGGTATAAATACAATCCTGCACCTTCATTTAATATTTCTAGCAATTAAACCAGCTGTTGCTCTTCATTATACGGATGAGTTTCTTTCTCTTGATGTCAACCTCATATTGGTTTGATCCATGGAATAAGTAGAAAAATCCTAGAATTGGAAGGACAAAATATTGGCAAATTAATATTTCCCTTTGTATACCTATTGTTATACACAATATTTTCTTGGGTGACTTAAGAAAAATCAGAACAAATATTTCCTATATATTTGAAACATATGATTTTTTTTGCTTTGGTTGGTGGTGTTTAATTTTGGTTTTAATTACATTTTAATTTATTTACCATTTTTCTGAAAGGCAGCGTCAACTCTATGGCCAATCCCTTGGAAGTCAGCTGCTATTTTTCTTGGATATCCCCTTTCCATTGACTGGGTGTTTTCATTGAAACTAAAGAAAGAAATTGCAGGGAAACAGAAAACAAGCATGTGATGTTCAATGTTGAAACTAGATGGAGTTTTTACAAAATAATCCTACTCTCAGCTGAAAATCCAGTAACTGCAAGCATCTGTGATCTCATAGAACTGTATAAATCATGGCTGTGTGAATATTTACATCTTAAGTGGCCTATGAAAGGCTGTTTTCAGAATATGAGACTAAAGAGTTCACTTCCATTCCCTGAGACTGATAATAAGGCTGGATGGGGCTTATACTGAGTAATAAATTTAAATAATTATTCAAGCTTAATATTTTAATTTTACAGCATGCAATCTATGAAGTGACCCCATAAAAGAAATGTAAAATTTTGTTGTACCAATAATCTTTCAAGATAATGTTACAGATTAATGTCTTGGTCTAAGATTACTGCTTAACAGAACAGATTTTTAAGAAATAAATGTTTCAATATCCTTCCATAACTTTCTTGATTGATTTGACACTTACAAATTTCAGGGAACACTTCTGCCCCTTAATAGGTACTGGATAAATATATGATATGATGACAAAGTCTTCTCAAATTATCTTTTAATGCTAAGTTCATACTGCTTCCCAATGAATAAATGAAGCTCATTTGTACATTAATCACAGGAAGTAATCACAAGAATAAATGAACACTGGTTTTATCTCAGGTGTTACAGACTTCATTCTATGAAAAGACCTGATTAATTCTCTGAGTTTCAGCTTTTACTGACTAAAAAGATTGACAACAAGAGGTCATGACTTTACTGTACAAATACTAACACAACTTGATTTTAAAAGCTTTTTTGATTATCTGATGTGCAGAAGAGGAAAGAGACTTGCCTCCAGTATTTGTTGCCCACAAAGAAATAGGTTTTCTTGGTATCTTGATCATGAACAGCTGCATCGATTTTCCCAACACTGGTGGGGAAGCCCAGGTTCTGAATAGGCCTTGGGAAGCCTGAATCTATACTGTAGCCACTGACAGCCCAGTACTGGTCATCTGCAGGAAAATAGAAAAAGTTATAGGGATTCCTGATGATTTCTGTTCTCCTTTCCATCAAAATCCAAGAGATTTCTGTGTAGTACACAGAATGACACCAAACAGTGCAGATGTCCAGCTGAGAATCTTATCTTCTACAGCAAACACAAGTTTGAGTTTCTCACAGCTGTTGGATTTTGCACTTTCTATAGTCATTAAGAGTATTATATACTCAATAGTTACAAGTCAGCATATTTTTTCAGTGTTTTTGACACCATAAAAATGCATTTAAATAACTTAAAATAACAATCAATTTTGTCTCAGCTATGATCTTCTCTCTCACTGACCAAAGAAGAGTAATATCATACTCTACATGACTGTTGTGAAGCAGCATTAGATAATGGCAGTAACAGCATTTTCAAAATGCAAATGGTTTAAATATTAAGAATATCTTCTTAGTACTAGTATTAGTATTAGAATGAATGCTAATATATTATTGCTTCCAATATTATTAAGTAACATTAGCAGTACTACTATAACTTCATTCATTCATAAAAAGGACTGATGAAAATGTAAGTGAAATACCTTTAAAAAATAGCACTCGATCCTTCTTGTCAACCTCATAAGCTGCATCAAATCCAGCTGCCAGTGAAGGCCAGAAAGAGGAGATGGTGTCATGCTCAATTTCTGAGAAATATGGACTTCTGCGCCAGACATAGCTGAAAGAAATTAAAACAATGTTGTTTCGTTGTCTGTACTTCACTAGGAGATCAAGAGCCCAGAAATATACTTTAAATCCTACTGTCTGGGTGCTGGAGTCAGTGCTCCCTATGAGGCAGAGATATCATCCTTTTTGGGATGCAGTGCTTCATGCTGCCCTGCTCCCTCACAGATATTTCCCCTTTACTAAGGGTTGTTCTGAGGTCACAGCATATCTGAGGTTGGAAGGGACCTCTCAAGGTCATCTTGTCCTACACCTTGGCTCAAGCAGGGTCACCTAGAGCTGGTGACCTTGTAAGATCTCTCTATTGGCAGCCTGAATGGCTTCTACAGGAACACATGTGATGCCTGTGGTAGTGCTGACACTTGCAGCTTTCTCTTCACCATGAACCACACAGGTAGGCACAGCTGCAATCTTCATTTCAGTTTGGTTACAAACGTTAATTACACATTCTTGAAAACCTTGTTTAAAACTAGTCTAAGGAAGAACTGCTCCTTCCTCCCCCTCCCTGAAAATGATGAAGTTTTTAAGCTACAATTCTTCATCATGTGTTTAGAAGGCAAACCAGACCCACATGGTCAAAGGAAGCTTGTTCGTTCAAAACACAATTACCGAACCAAGAAGCAGGTGAAACCCTAGACCTGACAATCTGTTCTCCTTTGCCAGGGTGGATGTGCTCAACCAACAACTTGCTACAGTGTCAGTGTCAGATTGTGCCCAAAAGCTGGACACCTGTAATAGCAGGGGCTCCATACAGACACTACTGTCTAGTGCAGACTCCTAGGTCAAAGTGACATGAAAAGTCACTAGTGACATTTTCCACAAGCACCCTGGTCCACACATGGGATAGTGTCATGAGGACAGTGCTGCATGTGAAGTACCAACAGGTTGAGGAGTTACATTGGAATTACTCAGCCTTGCACAATTTTAACAGACATAGGTGATGATGTATGATGCCTTAAAACATTTTACTCACCTGTCAGTAAAGCACATTACTCAGCCAGCCCAGGTGGGATAGCAAAATTTTGCAAAGTTACCTAAACAATTTCAGAAAGAAATATCTTCCTTTGTAACCAAGGGATGATAGATTTCTTGAACTGGACTTTATGCTTTGCTTTTATGAGTCTTGCAAAAAGGTGTTACTAGAAATGGAAGCACTCACCTGCCTTTGAAGAACAGTGTTTCCCCACGGAGAGTGGTGATAGCATCAAAAGTCAAATGAGGGTCACAGTCCTCTGGTCTTTGGGGGGTTTTGGAGGGTGTCATTTCTGTTGGTTCTTCCCGGGGTGACATTTCAGTTGGTGCCTCTGCAGGTGTCATTTCAGTTGGTTCTTGCGGGGGAAAAGCTTTTGATGGAAGTACTGGAGATTCTCTGGGGGATCCTTTAAAAACAGATAAATGTAGAATTGGAAGGTGGAGTAGAGTGGTTCATGTTGCAGAGCTTCAGGACATAGCCATATGGAGCTATTGTGCACATGACCACCCTTTTGTGGAAGACAAGTGAGTTTAATACTACAGACATGGACTTTGGTATCACGGGAGAAAGACTTGGATCTTTTGTCTAACTGGCAAAAATACAGCCTACAGATTCTATTTTGCAAATGTAGACTGTTAGCTATAAAGAAACCAAGAGATTTGCCCCAAAATAATAACAGGAAATTAAACCTCAGTATCCTTCTTGCAGTAGAAAGTTCACTACAATTTAGATGTTGGGTAAAATTAATTATAAATTATTATCCATCATTCACCAAAATATAATGCTTCTTGCTTACCATAGAGGGCTTGAATGCCACCAATATCATCCTGATGAAGCTGGAAGTCCCTTGTATCCTTGGCCATATATATAGGATACATCAAAGCACCGAAGACATTGGAATGACCAAGACCTAGCGAATGGCCCAACTCATGAGCAGCAACAAGAAATAAGTTGAATCCTAAAAAAATCCAGCACAAAGAACAAATATTAAATTAGTTTTTTGCATGACAGTGGGATACAAGTCCCATCCTCTCAATCATTCATGGTCTTAAAAAACCAGCAAAACCTGACTATGTCCCAAGTAAGAGGTTCTCTGGCATCCTGGAGAAGAAATATGTTTTGAATGATAAACATTTATTTCTCACTGGGGAAACAGTCTAGGAACAGTTTTTGCCCACGTTCCAGAAATTTTCTTGCCAACAAAGAATCAAAATTTTTAAAATGTTAATAATGACTAAGAGTTGGGTGAGAATATCTTAGTCATCTGGTCAGATTTGGGAATAATAAATGATATGGAATTCACCTGGTGACTACTTCAAAAAGATCAGTAACATGTAGCATCATCCCTGGACATTGCTGGAAATCAGAACACTTCACTGTTATATTTCATTATATTTACCAACAAACTCAAGATTTTTCTTTCCTTTGCAGAAGTTAAAAATGTGCATCACTTTAAATCAGGAAAAACCCCAACTTTTAAAGCCATTACCTGAGGGTGAAAATTCCCTGCCTCATGATGTCATGATTACCCAATATTGCTATTCTATGCTAATTTTATTTCCTTCACTGGAGCTGTAATTGCAGCCTGCATTATCTTCAGGGGACTGTTGTGACTTCAGACCAGGTCAAAACCTGCAGATTTATTTTACTATTATACACTGACATGTTACATCTCAATAAATACTGGAACTGCTGCCATGCAATACATGACTTTACAGCATCTTCAAGACAACACTGTCTAATAAAGAGCAGGCAACACTATATTTCAGGTTACCTACCACCATAGGTAGTAAATTTAGTCCAGTTTTCATCTTCATCAAAGTGGGCATCTCCTCCTATCCCACTGTTGGGTGGGTAGGCATGAGCCAGAGTTCCTCCTGGACCATCGAAGGAATAGAAGTCACCATGAACTAAACATAAGGGAGGAAAAAAAAATTATACTTTTCATTATTTTGGTCAGAAAAAGTGACAAATACTATCATTCCCAGGCGATGGAGCCCCCTTACATCCAGCTGCGAAGGAGATCATTATATCTGCTTGACCACTGTAGAGCCTGGTGAATCTCAAAGGGGTGACACTGCTCCAGAGCTGGAAGGCTTTTGCAATTGCTTCATCTACATCGGCTTGTAGCATGTCTGGAGTGTAGTTCAAAATCCTGTGAAATAAGGAGAAAGGAATTAAAAGCAACCAGATCACATGTGGCTGGAAGACATTGTATCAAGGTCAAACATTTACTGAGTGGTTATTATTATTTATGTGTCTTGAGACCTTAATTTTCAAAATATTTGCCTACATAACAGATGAGTTTCCACAGTTTTCTTTCATGTCTTTCAGAAACCCTAGTATATATACCCTCAGTTGTATTCCTTCTATCCACAGAATATATTACTTAATAGGCTGTTAACTAACTAATGTAAACTCCTATTTTGGTGTTTTCATCACTATTTGGAAGCCTTAATAGTCCCCACATTCATGGCCCTTTCATCCTGAATGGAACTTTTACAAGGATAACTACAGGAACAAATAGTAAAGAACCTGTTGATATCACTTCTGCCTAGCATTCACAAAGCTTCCCCATGGTGTAGAGTAAAACCTGCTTTAGTATGTGTTACCGATATGTCACATCTTCTTTCTTCCACCTAGGGCTGTGTGGGAAGGTGCTATATGAACGGATGTCTGGTATTCCACATCTGGGCTGCTTCATCATGTCCAGTGTCTTATGATTCAGCTCCCCAGTCACCTCTAGCCCAAAGAATGACTGCATCTCTCGGATTTTGTCAGCCATGCGATTAAGGTTCTTTGCTTTCAAAAGAGAACCTTTCTCTTCTTTAAAATCATAAAAATTTTCCAGATATTTCTGATAGGGAAGAAAAAGCAACAGTTTAGAATATGTAAGTTTCTTTTCAAATGCAGAGAGCTGTTAATAAATTATTCTGTGTCACTAATACATAACTATGCTCATTTTCTCAATAAATTATATTAAAGTTCTGCCTGTAGTCCTTACCTTAGCAAATTGCATATCTTCTTTTTTCTTTTCTGGAGCCACTGGAAAAGCACAAGAACATGCAACATATAGTAACCCAGTGAAAAGAAGGATCTTTGTCTTCATCTTTGTCTCCCAGTCCTACCAGCCCTTGCTAGAAGACCTCTCAATCTCTTCTTCCTCTTCTGTCTAGGACTCACCAGCGGTTCACTATTTATATCAGTGCTGTGCTTGCTAAAGTCAATAATAGTATGACTCATCTTATAACATCCTCTGATTTCCCACAGAAATGCAGAAAACAAATTTGGTTTTAGAAGCAAGCTAACACACGATAGTTTACCTTGCCCAAAACCACCTGATTTCACAATATTATTGGACAGTATGTTTTTTCCTTCATCCTAAACCGGACTCCCACCTCATTTTTCAGAGGTGCTAAAGGGACCTGGCTTTTTGTGAGGGACAACAATCTGTAATTCCCTGTATCAAGTGATAAGGGACCTCCAGAAACTGCCCCTCAGTTTTCTCAGTGTAGTGTGCACGCAGGACCTCAGCCTGTCAGGGTTGAAACCCTTCTTTTAGCCCATCTACAAATTTTAGTGACATAGCTGATTATAAAAACCACTCATTTCTCTTCTCTTGAACCTGACATCCCAGCATTGTTACAGAACTATTGCCTGTGCTGCTACCTGGCCTGTGTAATCATGGACTTGTTGCCTCAACCCCTTGTTTCCCCACACCACAATGTAAAGGTCTGAGTAGAGCACCCCAGATCATATATTCTGATCTGCATGGCTATCAGGCAAGGGTAGCTTCACAACTGAAGAGATGGCAGAAATTTCACTAGAGAACTACAGGCACCTTGGTGCTGCAAGGGTCTTCAGATGAACCTTTTAGTATACATCTCTGTCAGACAGAAGATGATGAGAGCTGTAGCTTCTAAGTCCCCAGATTTCCCAGAAGTCCTACTTTTGGTTCCTATGTTTCTGAACATGGTGCATTACACTTTGTGCAGGGGTTGCAGAATCACTGTAACTTGGTTCTCTCTTGCCTGTCATTTCTGAGACATCCATCTTTTGAAGCAGAATTCTCCTGTGTTGACTTAGTGCCCACAGGCAAGTTCAAAAGGAGAAACAGGAACTAAAAATAATCTACTTCTTTTTGAACATGCGAAAAAGAAGGAAAAGGAATCATTTTTCCAGTGAGAGCAAACGTATCGGAAATGTCACAAAAACAACCCTAGCACCACAGCAGCTGAGCTCTGCAGTCTGCGAGGTGGCCTGGGGAAAGGCATGGCCTCATTCCAAAGGAAACTGGAGTTGAACAGCCTGGCTGGAGAAAGGTCACACTGCATGTGTGACCCCGGTCATAGCCCAGGTCCCTGAACCACTGACTGAAGTGGCACAGATGTTTACATCTAAGGCCGCTGTAGAATAATGGCAGCTTTGCCAGTAGCTCACTGCTTCTGTAACGATGCTTCTGCTTCTCTCATCCTGGGACAGCACTCCTGCTGCTTTCCTCTGCCTTTCTGAAATCAAGTGTGCTCTCAGTGAACGGATTCAGAGAGCTGAAGCTACAGGGAGCATCCCAGAAAAATAACCCCAATCCACCAATGATAGTTTTCTGCTCAAGTTAGCAACTGTACTGGTTCCCTATGGGGTGAGAAGGATACCTGAGCCACCATGAAGTAGAGGCAGGATATCACAGATGGGAACAGGGATACAACGAGGCACCCAGGCTGGGATATTAGGACCTCTCCACTTGGCAGCAGCAAGCTTTATCTCTGCTGGTCATGGAAAAGCATCCCAAGCTGCACTTGTGGAATATGCTGTCTTCATTTCCACAAACAAATCCAGACACGAAGCAGGGCCCTTTTAAATACTGTGCTTGTATCTCTGCACTCAGCAGCAGCAGTTTGCATATGGCACTTACCCTCTGCTTTCAGCTGAATGTTTTGTAAACACTCTGTTTGCAGTGCCTAGGGATGAAGCAGTCGGAACACAAGATGCAGCATAACCAGTTGTCAAATGCTTTAGCTAGCCCTTTTGAAAGTTTAGGAAGCTATTCTTTCTCACTGATTTTGCAAGGCTGCCAATAGGCATGTCACAGCTCCTTCCTAGCTGTTTACTTTGTCTTCCAGAGCCTGTTACCTGCATGCTTGAACTGACATTTATGGAGTGGCTGGTGAGTGCTGGGGTTGAGAGGTGTATCGTGCCTTATGAACGTGTTCGGCAGCATGAGTGGGTAAAATTCACAGCTGAGCCTGCATGGCTCTGAGATGTGAGTGTGATCCTTGCATGTAGATCCAAGAGATGACTTGCCTTCTTATGCTGACTCCAAACACAGCAGTTTTTGGTGTTCAAACTATTATGGGTATTCAGTCCTGAGTTTTGGTATTGCAGGATCCAAACAAGAACTGTGTTGTGGCTTTAATCAGATGCTTAAAGTGCATGACTATTACCTTGCCAGTGGACACGGTAAAGATTTATCAGCAAAGACACAGCTTGGATTTAAATGGGGCGATCTGAGCTGTACTAAAGAGATGACCCTAGCATGGCACTCTTACCTTACCTATACATCGACTAGTTCATGAATTCTGCTTCAGAGGCTTCCAGAAACATTTAATCCTTGACAAGGTTGAGCAGGTCAGGTGCCTGTTTTATGCCTTGGCCCTATCAGTAACAAGATGCTGATATTCCTATCTGTCCTTGAAGGCTGTTCCCCTCTGTTCCCTGAAGTCACTGTTGCCCTCTAGCTGGGTTGGAGACCATGCTGACCGCAGTGGTGACTCTTGCCAAATTACGCAGCAGCCAAGCAGCCAGAATGGGTTCAGGAATACTGCTCACTTCTTCCCTCAGCTCATCGGCACTCAGACTCATATGTCCCATATCGCCAGCAGTTAATCACACACTCAGGGACAAGAGTGGGTGCTTTCCCAGGAAGACCCCTGCAGTAGAACAGAGCATTTCACTGAAAGCCTGCCAATGTCCAGGCTAATACTCCTCCACCACAGAACTGTTTGTCCTCTGACAGCATGATTCTTATTATCCTGTAGGGTCTAGCCCAAGCACCAGGATTTTGAGGAGATTTGTCAAAATTCTACCTGGGAATTTTGCCATTTCTTATTTTTATATGATTGAATTCCATCCAGAAACGTCATTCCAGTTCTGCTTGGTGCTTTTGACTTATGGAAAGAAGTAGAAGCATACTTAACATAGTCATGTAAACAATTATAATTAACTGTATAAACAACAGCAAATAAAGTCCAAGGAAGCTTGAACTAACTAAACACACATGCACATGCACACTATGATTTCACCTCCTATATTTTTAGAAGGATCTGTAGATGTCTTCTTTCCCACCTCCTCTTTACTCACACTGTTTCTAAACTCTCCTTCTTTAACGTACTTGTGCCAAAGAAGCAGGATGTGTTAAGAAGGTCTTGGACTCAGCCAGACATGGAAGGAGCTGCTGTTTTTTTTCACTTGAATAGAATTGGGGGATAAACTCATATGAAGAGGTTCTCAGGCTTGAGGAACAAAAACTTAATAGAAAAAGACACAAGCCCTTCACATAACTATACGAGCCAGTCTTTGCTAAATAACAGCCAGATCATAGCAAGTAAGTGTTTGGGGGAGGTAGGCAAGCAGTAAATTTGTGACATGGAAAAAAGTAGGTCTGCTATTAAAAGGCTCAGGGAAACCAGATAATATTTACTAAAAATTAAACACTTTCAATCTCTCTCTGCAAGACAGTATTTTGAGAGTATTGAAACTGAGCCTGAAGTAGGTACTGACTTGAATTCCATGATTTTGCTGAAATCACTTCCATACTTGCATTTAGTGTATAAACAAGTTTCATAAGTTGCACATCATTTCCTCTCATTAATGTTTGACTTTGTAGCTTCTTAGAAGGCACAGCCACAAAGTGATTGCAGTCCATTGGTGCTATATCATCTATCAGTGAGCAAGAGGTAGGACAGAATCCAAGGCCCAAGAATTCTGAGGTTTGGAGGAATTAAGCTAGGGAATACAATAGTTTGAAATTATGGCACACTAATGTCCTAAGTGGCAATATATCCGGGTCATATGCTGAATTTAGACAGGGCCTGAGCAATGGATGAGGCAGGAAGAACTGAGATTGTGAGAAACAATTAGTTCACTGTTGCTGCTTTACCATGCTTGCCCCTGTGAGATTTAGACTTGCTTTCCCAGCACACCAAACCACTGAAGAAACTGAAATGTGGGCATGATCCTGCCTTTCCTTCTGATGGAGAATGGTCAGTAAAATGCTGCCCTCCTCTCTCCTGCCATGCAGTCTTTCATGGTCAAGGACCCAAACCTGTGCAATTCTTATTGTCTTATAAAGAATATCACCAAACCTCCAGATCTCTGTGTTGTTAGTTAAGGTGATGGTAATGTAGCCTCAAGGAGATCTACTGTAGTTTCTCGGGTTTGTAGAATGGAAAACAAGTCCACAGAAAATGCTTTCCCATGTGTGCCTGTCCATCCCATCTCTTAACAACTGTTAAACATTTGACTTAGTTATTTCCGTAAGCCATATTGTCAATATGTTGCATGCTAATGTTAAATCAACTTGATTTCAATGCTCTGAAATTAGTATTAGGAAGAGATAGGGAACTTTGCCATGTAAAGAACCTCCAAACTTTTCTGGAATTCCTTTTGATGTGGACTGGAAAAAGTTGACAGCTTTGATAATTTGACTTGGAAGCCCTAAGATATTCAGCCATGATGTTATAACCGTATGAAACTCAAGACACCTCCTTGAGCAACCTGAGTTCTGTGTTCAAGAGGGCATGAGCAGGGAGAGCAGGGTAGTACTGTAGGAAACTGTCTGCTATTCTGCTGTTGTATGTCATGGTCATAATTTGGAAATCTAGATAATCAGCTACTGGCAATCTTGGTCTTCAGTTCATATTGTATATTTTCATCTTGGAATCTTATACAATACCTGCTGTCTTTCTTGTGTGCCTCTTAAGCAGAAAGTCTTCTGGCTATAGATGACCCGTGATAGATGCAACATATTTGCTTATTCAGATGCAGAGATGAGAACAAGCATTTTCAGTATTGAGTGATGAACTTGACCGGTGACTGGTGCAGTCTTAAGCT